TTGGGTTCTTTTGGAATTCTTCTTGGGAGATTTCTTCTATTTCTATATCATTATTTTCAATAGTGATTGTAATTCTTGAAGATCTTCTTGTTGATGATCGTCCTCTTTGTATTGCTTCTTCGAATGCTTGTTCTTCTGTTGGAAATCTGAATTCTTGTAAATCCTTTAATTCTTGTCGAGCTCTTTCGACTATAACACTTGCTTTTCGTTGGTATTCTACAAATGAATACATATGCCTATCTTGACTAATACTTTCATTGATGAAGTCTACTGATTCATCGATTACTCCTACTATTCTTTGGAACAATTTTCTTTAGACCTTCATACTTTATTAAGTTTATAAGATGTTCTTGGTCTACTTATTGTCGAAGTATTTGGTTTTCTATTTCTACTTTGGAGAGTGCTTCTTCTATATGCTCAAATCGTAAAGGATAATTGTAAAGTATTTCATTTAATACTTCTTGTTCAGTTGTCATTGGTTCATGGAAGAAGTAGTCTTTTGGAGGTTCTTCCTTAGCTTTTTCTTTTTTTTTGGTATAGCATTCTCGACATATTCCTCTTGCTAGGTCTTCTTCTGATCCTAGAGGATTTTGGTTGCATTTGGTACAGTATTGTGTCGGATGATATACTTTGTTGTAGCAATCAATACAATATGGATGGATGGCTTTTTCCATCATATTTGTTACATTCACATAACTGCTTTCTTCTTTAATGTCGATTGGTAAAAGACATTCTTTACAAAGAGTACATTTCACTTTGGATGTTTCTTTACACCATTCGTCATATGTTTCTGGTCTCTTTGTATTTCCTTTATCCAAGTTGTTTAAGCTTTCAGTAACAGCTTGGTTATAAGCTATTTCTTCTTCGACATCATTATTTTCTTCATTATAGAGGATTGGTGTCTCTGGATAAGAGAATTCATCTCTTTCTTTTTCTTCTTTTAGAAGTTCTAATCATTGCAGATTGGGTTTTCCTTCTGCAATATAGTCGTAGATTCTTTTTATCATCGATCTATTGACTGTTATATAATTTCCTGCTGACCGTCTGGTATTGAGCCAATGTCCTTCCCTTCCTTCATAAGTATAGTTATGGCAAGGGTCTACTATGTCAAGATATATTTGATAGGCATATTTTTCTTTTCAGGTACAAAAGAATATATTTCCATAATTTGCAAATTCTCTTTTTGTTCCTTTCTTTTTACAAAGGTAACATTCAATTTTCTTTATGTTCTAACCATTCCATTACTTGTTTTTTCTGAGGTTCGTTTTGTCAAAAGTATCTTACATATTCATATGCACATTCTTCGCATTCCAATCGAATCCTATTATTTCTTCTTTGTATTCCTATTAAATTATTTTTTGTAAATGGTATTTTACAGTTGCAACAATGATTCTTCTTTGATTTTGATGTTGAAGAGTTTGGGTTGATTAAATGGTTCATTCTTGTTGCAGTTACTTCTCTTGGATCACATCCACAACCATTATGTTCATTTGCTTTGTCAAATAATAATTCTTTGCATTGATATCATTTATGTCCTCTCATAAGACAATATTCACATTGATACTCTTTGCATTCGACTAAATTAACATATCAGCTTCCATTTTTTAATAATGGAGCATGTGGGCAGTTTCGGTGTGTATGTCCTGTCTCTCTGCATTTATTATATATTGCATTTGGACAGTCACAATATTCATGTTGTCCAAGTGTTCCAGAGCATATTTTACATTGTACACTTCCTGTTCCCTCTGGAGTAGTTGTTCTAGACTCATATGTAGTTCTGTTTGGTACCTGTAGGAGTCTAGTTGAAGAGCAATTTGTGTAACTATTTCCTGGTACTGATGTTGCTCTAATATCCATGGTTTTTTCATTATTATCTGAAGTTCTTTGAGATACACTTTCTTCATCCTGTCTGATAATTCAATATTAGGTTGACATGATTGTTTTGTTTTTGTAAGGTCAATAGCTTTACTAATTGATCCACCAAATTTTGTTTGGGATCAAAACTCATTTGAAGTTTCTCTGAAACTTCTGTCATCCTTTCTTGAGGATCGTTGTACTTTCTTAGATAAGCCAAATTTGTTAGTGTTTTGACTAAGTCATGGTAAGTTTTTGGTTTGTGGCTGAACCTTACGCCAAGTTTCTGTTCGATTTTCTTGATATCTTGAATTAGCTGTAGTTGGGTATTGGTTTCTTCTACCTGTTGTACCCAAGTTACTACTATTTCTTCTTTTGGAATTATTTTGGTTTTCTGGGGTAATTTCTATGTTTGAGTAGTCATTGGATTTATTTATTGGTTTCTTTGGTTGGTTCTTGAATGTTAGGTAAGATTATTTTTGGGTCTTTTTATAATTTAGGATTTATTTAGATTTTCTAATTGTTTAGTTTTATCATTTTCTTCTAAAGGTTTATCTTCTGCTTCTATCAATAGATAACTCTTTAGGCATTGTAGAAAACCTTCCCACAAATTGTTTATGTTTTGTCATTGCCATATATATTCTGATAGATATGGTTGGAGTTTATCTTTAGCCCTATTTCTGCTTGGTGTCAATATTTTTATGCCAAGCAAATTTCCTTCAATGGTATTTGTGTGTACACCTGTTTTAGGATCTTTAAAGTATTTTGAATGATTCACAGTTTCATGTTGGTATCTGTACTTCACAGATAAGTTTTTGTAACCTTTCCATAGATCTGTGTATATTATTGATCCTTCGTGTACATATGCTCTAATGATATCAGTCAATGTTTTTTCATCACGTTTATCAATTGTTACTACAAATATTTTGCGTTCTGGAGTTCGTTCTACACCTCCAATGACCTATTGACCATTTACAGGTTTTCCGCAGTGATACTTTACACGTCCAAATAATGATTCATCTATTTCTACAATGATATCTTTTCCTCCTATCTTATCATATGTATCATTTATTTGTGATTCGACTAATTGTCTAATATTGTTTATATTATTTGCTATTGTTTGTGTTAAATGTCCAGTCATTATATGAATGGGTATTGCTGACACTTTGATAAGCCATAAATAGTATATTTTAAATACTTCATTGATGAGAATCTTGTGATTTTCAAAAAATGAGAATGTGAGTACAGATTGTGTTATTCTACAATCGCGTCGCGTACAGTTCCATCTCTTATCTTTTTGTTTCAT